AAGCATATCAGGCAAAATCCAAAGAAAGAAAACAAAACAGAAAGGCAAAAACATGTGGCACCTTAAAAACTATTATATTTTAATGTAAGCTTTCGTGGACACATCCACTTTGTCAGACAGGTTTCTTAAGCCATTACCATAATACTTATGCTGTTTATCTATGGCCACTATTACATTCTTCGCAACTAACAAGCCCATCTCTCATCACGAGGCTCCAAGGTAAAAACTTTCTATATTCCCTACATTAACACGTGTGATTCCTTTGCTAACTTCTTTCATTCTTGATTTCCCTTCTTAAAGTTTAATTGCATCTTCAACCCTCCCACCTCCTTCTCTCTTTTCTCTCTCTTCCCCTACCATGTGTTTTCTCTCTTGAAGAATTTTTGCAACAAGACCCTAAAGCAAACATAGGCCTAATTACTGTGTGTAACCAGCGAACATTTAGAATGTGAAGCGGCTTTTTCACCTACATTTCATTCCATTTCATTCTGTTTCCATATGTCTGATGAATCGGATGTGTCCACCAGAGCTTATATTAAAATATAATAGTCTTTAAGGTGCCACATGTTTTGTCTTTGTTTTGCATGAAGATTGTCCAAGAGCAAAGGAGGTCATCCTTTTTAAAATGTAACCCACCATATGACACAACAGGGGAGATAAGCCTTGCCTTCTTTGCATTTTTTTTGGGGGGGGCATATATTTGTAGAATACCTGGAGAGGGCTAAAAAGATATACAACATAACTTGGATTACAAACAACATGTGCTTTTCAATACAATTCTGTGGTGTTCTAATTGATATGGTGGGAACTCTGACTATGGGTGGGCTAAACCATCAATTTCAGTTTCTCATTTTTCCCTTCTGAAGGTAGTTCCACCGGATATGACAGTTGTTTTTCACTCTACTTAAGATCCTGAACAAAAATGCATATATTCCTGTGTGCTTTTTTTCTAATGTACTGTACATATTTTCAAAGGCAGTTTAGCCTAATATCTTCAACGATGGTTTTCATTAAACCACTCAGGTGTAATGTTGCTTTGTATGCCCCACCATTTAACATACACATTTTCCCTCATGCTTTTTCTAGAGAACAACGCACAGAATATTGAGAAATGCAAATATGCAGAGATAACTGCTCAGAAAAAAGTGAGTGAAACATTTGATAAATTCATACTAAAATACAAACCAAGCAAAACTCTTCCCTATTCCTAATTTTGAATAGGAATGGATATTTTTAATGGAGTCAGCCTTTAGGTGTCAAGAAATAAAAAACAGGGTTTACTTTTTAATATGTTTCAAGGTATTTTTCTCCCTTGCCAAGGCTCCTGAGATGAACCTTCAAGCATAAAACTGGCACAGAAATTAAAATATGACATAAAACACTGTGCTTTAATTTAATTTCTATAATGTTTACTACAAGCAAACGAAGCAAGAAATTTCAGGAGAGCATATACTAAACTCATCATTATCATCATCTTAGAACTTCAGAGCTGGAAGGGACCCTATGGATCATCAAGTCCAGCCCTTGTCAAGGAGACCCAGTGGTAGATAAAAACTCCCAACCTTTGGCTTTGTAGCCAGAGACCTATACCACTGAGCAGCTATCCAGCAGTTCTCACAATCCCGGATTGAGGAAGGTGGATATGCTTCCGTATCTCATTCTTGGTGGCAATGTCTGATATTCTTTCCAGAACATACAAGTTTAAAGTACAAGCTTAAAATAAAGGCCCTTTCCATCATGACTGTAGACGCATACACTACTACCGTATTTTTCGCTCCATAAGACGCACCTCTCCATGAGACGCACCAAATTTTTAGGAGAAGAAAACAGGAAAAAAATAATCTGTTTTCTTCTCCTAAAAATTGGTGAGCCTTATGGAGAGGTCCATCTTATGGAACACACCCTAGGACCCTTTGGAGACTCACCCTGCCCCCCCGGAGGCCAGAGGGGGAGAAATCGCCACCTTATGGGAGTCTTCTGAAGCTTCCCAAGCCTCAAAAGACTCCCAGAAGGTGACGATTTCGCCTGTGTTGGCCCTGTGGGGGGGTGGGGGGAGCGTCGCAAGGGTCCTGGAAGGCTCACTCGGACCCTTGCGACGCTCCCCCCCCATGGGGCCAGTAGGGGCGAAATCGTGGCCTTCGCTCCATAAAACGCACAGACTTCCCCCCACTTTTTTTGGGGGGGGGGAAGTGCGTCTTATGGAGCAAAAAATACGGTAAATCAGTAACACACACAAATATTATTTCTGTGCTTGTGCTCATCATAATCAGTTCTGAATTGCTAACCATTTTTGTGGCATGTGATTTCTGCAACGTAGCTCAGTACCCGACTGGTTCATATACACCATTCTTAATGACACATGCCTTATGAATTTGATTGTTGATTATACAGTTAAAGACAATGAATTACAAACTGAATTGCTTACAAAAAACTGAACTGTTCACAAGAGCGGTTGTTTTTAAAGAGACCCTTGTAAGTGACTCAAGCCCTATTCAGTTTTTACTTATTAAGAGAGCAGTGCCTGATTCCTCTTCTCTCCCTTGTCATTTTTTCCCATGTAAAAAGCAACGTATCTGAAGAGGAGAAAGGTACTGCTTCTGTACAACCTCTTACATGCTAAGCAAGAAGCATGGAAGAGCTCTAGTCAAGACCAGATATTTGGTCACATGAAAAATCTATAAAATATTTCTATGATCTCCAACTATAACTCAAAGCTATTTGTTCATTAAAAAAAAACTGAAAGGGCTGACATAGGTGGTATTCCTCTTCATCAGAATTCCATGTAGGTCAGTAATAGAGAGGGGAACTAACCATTCCAAGGTCCTTCAGTGTTGCTTTTGTTTGAAGGGGAATTTAAACAGCGGCCTCCTCTGATCAAGACCAACCCTCTAACCACTACACAACTCTTGACCTCTTGGTGAAGGCCATTGTTACTGTGTTTCAGCAACTCTCCATCCTGTAACTTAACTAACTGCAACTGGGAATGGGAACAAAAGACTGCATGTTTTGGACAACTCTGAAGAATATTTAAAAATGTGATGGCATGTTTCTAAATGAACTTCAAATGTTACCCCACTGTGCTTTAGTCCAGGGTAGAGTACTTTCAGCCCCTAGGATAGCACCGTTTAGGTTCTACTCAAAATGGTGGAAACATTTTTCCATTCTTGTCATTCCAAGGGACTGATCAAATTTAAACATCATCACGGATCTGTGAAATCCATTTTCTTTAAAATTACAAGCCAGTTCTTATTCTTTACTTTTAGACAAAACCACAACATAAAAAATTCTCTATAGTATAATGCTATCCTTCTTTCTGAGCATTGCAGAAGCACTGGCTAATTAGCTCCTTTTACTCCAAGGAAGCATAAATATCCCTTCATTATCTGTAATTTTGACATATTTTTGTTAGAGCATAAAGCTATTTACTTGACAACCTGCAATGTACTCTGGGATATTTGAGGATGATTTTTTTTCCAGGCCTTTATGGGTCTGACAACTGTTAGACACTGTAACGAGTCTAGTGAATGAACTGCTTGCTTCTGCAACTCTTTTATTATTTTGGGAAGAGGAACTTTGTTTTGCATAATGCATTCAGCTTCGCAGTCTTTTCAGAGTACAGGAAAACCTTATAATGTCACTCAGTGGATTATATGAACAGTGGCACAGTATGCATGTGACAGGAACCGCTAGGAAATGGGTTTGTTTGCACTGCTGTAATACATAAACATGATTGCCAGTGGTTAACGTTGTCCTGCTGGGTGTTTCATGGTACATTGTATGCATGTCATGTCACGTTAGGCTGAACAAGAGCAGCCAAGGAACAGGAAAGGGCAATGTTACACCCACAAATCGATGCTATGAACAAGTACGGAATTGCTTCTTCCACAATACCCACAGAAAGAGCAATAATAATTAAAATTAAAATGCTGCTTATTGTTGTCCATGGCTTATAGGGCTGAAAGATTTTCACTCAAGAGAGTTTCATTCCCTTTCCTAAAGAGAGATTCATACAAGCAGGGGCAGTGGTAGAAATTCACCACAAGGTAATGTTGCCCTCAACTTTTATGTGATGTCCCACCTGTATGGAAAAACTACAGGTTACAAACTTTCTAAGAAGCAAGAATCCTCTGTATGACAGAGGATGGGTGCTCCTCGGGTCAGATAGGGATCCTCTGATATGCCCTATGTTGTACATGTGACGGGAGAACCAAGTTCCTGGGCTCATATTAATATTATGCCCAAGAGAGTAATGGCAGAAAAATAAACAGGCCAGAAGTAATGATTTTTGGATAATGTAATTATCAACTATTTGACTAGATAGCTCAGTGAGTTGGGCACCTGACTGTGGAGGGAGAGGTAAGGAGTTTGATTTCCTACTGTGTCTCCATGTAGCCTTGGACAAGCTACACAGTCCCAGAAATGCCCCGGAAGAAGGGAATGGTAAACCACATCTGAGTACTTTACACACAGAAATCCCTGGAAAGAGTTGTTGTAAGTCAGATTTGACTTGACAGTATTTAATTATTATCTATAATCTTCAGCTATAAGTACTTGTGTTGCCTCCCACCCACCCACTCCTATCCACTTATGTAAGGAAATACCAGAAGCTACAGTTCCTCAGTGTCAGGTAACACATGCTACCTTTGGAAGAGGTAGCCAGTCATGTTAGTCTCTGCTGGCAAATCAGACGGTCTGAGGGAGTCGACCTGTCCATGAACGCTCACAGCAAAATTTAACAGTTAGCTTTAAAGGTGACACAACATTTTGTCTTCTTTATTTTTTTTTATTTTGTGACGCATATATTTTGAAATGAATTGCCATCATACACATCTCTGTGTTAGCCTGACTAATCATCTAAACTGATAATCTTACATAATTTTATTACATTTTCACCCTTGTTTTCAGTAATTGTGTTAATGCTTTAATACATTCTTTGTCAGCAGTACAAGGGCATGATACACACTACTCCCCCCCCACCTCATTCATTGTGGCTTGCTTACCTATCATGGGTGACTCTATAAAGCTCCATGCATTTGTCTGAGGGACATAGGATTGCAGCACTCCAGCGGCACGGCCAGCCTCATTTACGCCACCAAACACATAGATCTTTCCACCACAAACAGTAGCAGCTGCAGAATGCACTGCCTTTGGCAATGGAGCCACTGTCTCCCACTGATTGGTGATTGTGTCGTACCTGAAAGACAAAGATGTACAAATAAGTCTAGACGTACTGGTAACTGTTAGTCAGGGAAACATCTTTGCAAATATATCTTCCAAATCCACTACAATGTGGCCAGTAGATAGATAACACCATCACCTTCTTTTATACATGTAATGCAAATGATTATGGGATGGGGGTGTGTGTGAAAAAAAGTAATTTGTTGACGTTTTTAAATTGTAAGCTTGCATTTGCAGGCAAGGTGATCTTGGCTTTTTTTAAAAAAAAAATTGTACATAAGCTGTTCTGGGATCATCCTGAGTAGAGAAGCATGTTTTTAAAAACGCTTTAAATTCTTTCCATCCATCTCTCAAGCTCAGTTATAGCTCAAGCTAAAAAATAAAAAAACCTTTTTCAATATGACCCCCAGTAAGTAATTTCTATTATTTAGAACAGAGTGGGATTATTCCTCGGTGCAGGGGTATCCAACAGCAACTGTACACTGGCAACCGTTAATGCACTTTAAACTGTTTTCCTTGAACATCAGCTGATCTTCAGACATAATGCAACATGATAACCCTCTTGCTCCAGTTAACTATCCATTAAATGTGCACATTTTGGGGATGTGCAATTGGCCTTTCTTTAATTTTCACAGCATGGACCAAGCTACTACACTTTGTTACAGGACGCTGGAAAAGCTAATGGAAAATGTGCTGTAGGAATAAGATTTCCAACCATTGCATCCATTTCTCCATGTACCAAAGCAGATAAGAATAGGCATTAGAGTGCTAAATTAGTTCTAAGGTCACTGGTATTAGATTTAATCAAGCCATTGACCATAAAGATGTACAGTTAATAAAGCACAGACAAAGATTCATTTTAGACAATGTCACTGGTTCAGACGCCTATTTTTTAAGCTAACATGGCAGCAGTCCAAATAACTGCTGCAAAATGAGCCTGGGAGACAATAAAAAGTGATATGGTTGTTAACGCTTTGATATCTTTATGGAATGGCAGCAGATCCAGTTAAAAAGCAGATTCATGAAGCTTAGGACGAGAATGACAGATCGCAAGAACAAATTATGACACACACATTCATGCCCACAGGAACTACCCTAGTGACATCAGGACACTGCAGTCAAATAACATGTAAATTGTTTTAATTCATCTTTCTTTTTAATGAACTTTAAAAATTGTTAATATTCTAGATTTACATATTTTAATAACAGTTTAGGTTATGCCAAAAATTGGCAGAGGCAAATCAGAGGAACGAACTGAGGAAAGATGAAAGCAGTGGAGCATTTATTAATATTAAAAGCTGTGGAAAATATATTTGCATATTTTCAAAAGTATGTGAGAACAGAATGAACATCCACAACAGAAATACATGTATAATTAATAGAGGATGTAATAAACAAGAAAGAACACGTGAAACAAACATTTTTTTTACTAACACAATGGCTTTAGAGAAGAAGGAAAAAATCAGACCAAAAGGGTAAATGTAAATTAGCCACCTAACAAACTCTTGGGGTAAGTTACAAACTTACAGCTTACTGATCTGCATTTGGACCGTTCAATTTTACACGAATCACTTATTGCCTAAACCTATACCACTAATGTGTTCAAATGGTTTTTCAGAGCCAGCATGATGTAGTGGATAGGCTGGTGGTGTACATAAGCTGTACACCACCACCCTATCCACTACATCACTCAGAAGACCCAAATTCACATCCTATGAAAACTCACTAGAGAACGGCACTGGTAAAACCACTCCTAAAATATCTTCAATTTAGAACATGCCTGTAAGGATAAAGGAAAACTGTTATAAGGTACAGTGGTGCCTCGCTAGACGATTACCTCGCAAAACAGTTAATTTACAAGACGATGGGTTTTTGTGATCGCTATAGCGCTTCGCAAAACGGTTTTCCCTATGAGCGATTTTCGCTAGATGATGTTTCGGTCCGGGCTTCACAATACATTTTTTTCCCCAGGACCCGTTTTTCATAAGACGACAATTTTGACAGCTGACTCCACGCTTTGCAAAACGTTTTTTTAAGGGACGGTTTTTCGCAAGACAGCGATTTTGACAGCTGGGTCTGTGCTTTGTGAAACAGTTTCTCTATGGGCGATTTTCGCAAGACGATGATTTCCCCCCCATTGGAACGCATTAAATGGGTTTCAGTGCATTCCAACGGAGAACCGCATTTCGCAAGACGATGTTTTCACAAGACAGTGATTTTCGCGGACCGAATTAACATCGTCTTGCAAGGCACCATTGTAATATGGAGGTGATATTTAACGCCGATAAAACTGAATATAATAAATAAATATTTCTCATCACTATGCTGGAGGTGTAAAAAAGAGAAGGGGACATATTTACGCATGTGGTGGTTATGTGAAGTAAGTAAGAAAGAATGGAAGCAATTTTTAAAGAAACAAGGGAAATAACTGGATTAAATATTCAAATGTCCCCGTCAATGGCTTTATTGAACACAGTTAAGAAAGATCAATTGTTGAAAGAAAATAAGGATTTAATTGTAATAATGGTTACGGCAGCAAGGTTTATGTTTGCAAGAAATTGGAAAAATGATAACCAAATTAATTTAGAGGAATAGTTTAGAGAACTATGGGATATGGCAATTAGTGATAAATTGATAAAAATGATAAATTGACATTTGATTTGTGTGCCTGCTGGGCAACAAGCCCAATGCTAAATGTGGCTCTCAGTGGTAGGGATGAGGCCTAGTTCAATATGGAAGATAACCACTCTAGCCAAATACTAGGCATCTTCCGGATATGTTTCCATGGATCACCTCCCCAGGTGATGGTGTCACTAAAGGTAAGACCATTTCTCCACAACCTCTAAAACAAGGATGGGTGTGACCCAGCCTTTAGTGCTCATGGGTTCAAATGTATCCCCCTACACCCCCTTCCCCCTAAAATCTATATCCTCTAGGCACCCCCCCCCATATTTTTTAAATGAGCCATTAAAGAACAAAAGCCTCCCCCTCAGTTAAAACATATTTTGTGAGAGCCATTTATTGGTTGGGCATCGTGGTCATGTGCATGGCACTCCTTTTTGTACAGACTTTGGTCAAGGACTGAGAAACCATGTGTAGCAGATGTGTGGAAAGTTCAGCCAGCAACATACTTCAGAACTGGCAGAACAACCAGAGCGAATACGCATCGGTCAGTCACAACAAACATGAAATGAAAAACAGTTCAGGCACCACCTCAGCTACAAATGCACCAGATGGCTTTGGGCAAGGTGGTTTTACTTCTCTCCGTCTGAACCTCTTCTCTGTATTTGGAGATAATGCCCACCTATCCTACAGGGCTGCATCAAGCATTTTGGTGTGAGCAGTATTTAGGATACTTGAGAGAAGCTGAGCAAACGTTAAGTAATAACAAGTGGGATCTGCAACAAACTGTTGTAACATGGACTGTTCCAGTAGGTCTGGGTTTGTCACAACATGGACTGTTCATATTCAGTGCTTTCTTCAGGATGTTCTGTATATTTCTACCTTCCATTTAGTCTCCTATACCCTGACTCCTCCAAATTTCAATGAGCATTTTGTATCCACAGAGCATGCCAAGTCCTTTCTAGGTTATATCTATCTATCACATTTCTCCTGATGTCTACACACACGCAAGATGCTTGTGTGGGGCTCTGTTTTCCTATATAAGCATGAGCACTCAAAACAATCTAGATGGCTCTTGGCATAGATGATGACACTGGCATCAGGTTATAATGAAACAATTTTTATTAGTACTGAACAGTGACACATAACTTTTACAAATAAGTAAAAATAAACCAGATAAACCAATGTTACAACACGGTAAACCTACTCCCCCTCATTCTATTCATTTGAGCTTCTTTATTTCCATAATCTCATCATCATTGTTACAGTCTTTATTTTATTTTATCTCTGCAGATTCCACAGAGTGGAAAAAGCTCTTTGCACTAACAATCTCTCTCTCCAAATTATATCTGAATACACATCAATTTTTCCTAGCTCTGTCCTCTTAATTTCTCTCTGTCTAGGTTAGCAGTTTTATGAGTGAATGGTTTAATTTATTTCTGTTATAAAGGCTCTGCACCACCATTATCTGGAGTTTATATACCATACCTTCACTATCTTATACATTATTCAGAGGGCAGTTTGCAGAAAAGCAGTCATGGAAAAATAAAGCTGTATTTGTATCTGGGCCATCTTTCCTTTGGCTACTCTGTATGAATAGTGACATTTTAAAAGTTTTCTCCTGGATTGCCCTTACTGTATATTTTCTCATCCATCTTCAAAGGGTCTTCTGGGTGGGATACTACTGGTCAATGCACGGTTCTTCTGAAGACATCAAGGTACTATGATATTGCCAGGAAAATCTTGGAGACACACAAACATCATGGATTCTTTTGAAACATTTTGTCTAACTGTGCAAAACAAACTAAAGCAAGCACAAATTCACAGGGAACGGATGTCCAGTCTAGTCCCCTGTTCTTTCCTATCCTTGCTCGCAGAGTGTTTGAGAAATTTCCACTGAAACAAGCTTACCTGTTCCTGTAAACAGGTGGGAAGATTTGTTTAAGTTCCGTAAAAAGCCTACTCTCCTGCTAGCCACATAGCCCTATTTCTTAGGTTTCTGGCTATGGAATCCTGTGAGTAGAGCTAGCCTGTGTGGCCTTGGGCAAGTTGCACAGTCCCAGGGCAAGGGCAGAAGAAGGCAAGGGCAAACCATTTCTGAGTACTCTCTACCCAGAAAACCTTGGAAAGGTGAAGTCAGCATTAATTTGATAGCACACAATTATTAACCACTGGTTTTCACTGAACTAAAATAACGGAATTCCACTAAAGTAAAATTGCATACTAGAAGAAATAGAGATATACAACAATGCTGAAAGATTTGTAAACATAATCAGGAATGTGTGAACTTCTCATTACATTTTTTCCTATTTCTATTTATCATAGAACAATGTTGTTATTTCATATTGTATAATGATGCTATAATGAGGTTATGTAAAAGATGGTGACTGGCCAAAGATCACTCAGATGGATTTGAACCTGGGATTCCTCCATCTAATTGCACCTAACAAACTGAATCAACCACAAGCTGACAAGGAATGTCTTGTTTAGTGCAGTCTTTCCTAACTCGATGTTTTCCAGTTGTGACAGACTGCAAACTTCCTTAACTCCAACTAATGTAGACTGTGGTGAGAGACCACAGTTACTGAAGTCCAAAATACTGGGAGGCTGGCGGGCTGGGGAGATGGGGCTGAGCATGGCATGCTAATCACAAAACTACACATTCCCAGTCTGAATCTGGCCTCTCATATGAATTCACTAGGTCATGGCCATGGGATTCTTCTCCAAACCAACCTCCCCATCCCCATCTGTAATACTGGGATGAAAATACTGAATTAACTTACAGAGGAGATACAAGAGTTTCATAAAGGTAACACATGTGAAGTGTTATGGTCATTTTTTTAATGTCATCATCATCATAACAGTTTGATTTAACTACATCTTGTTCATGAAAAGTAGGTTTCGGTGCGATTATTGAAATTTATGTTTATATTATTTACTGCAACTCCTTTATTCTCAGGTGTTGTCCCAAGGTATTGTTCAATAGGCATCATAAAAATGAGTGCTTTTTTAAAAATGAAAAGCATCTGAAATTGTGCCATATTCCTAAACAACACATACAACTGGTCTCAGAACAACTTCCCATGAAAGGGAACAGCCTTACCTCTCCACGTGATCGACATTGCCTGCCACACCAAGGCCTCCAATGGTATAGATTTTCCCATCATACACCAGGCTGTTGTGTCGACATCTTGGGGCTGTCATTCGGGAAACAAGGTTCCAGTTATCAAGTAGTGACATGTAACACCAGACATCAGACAGTGCGACTCCGGACTCCATGCCACCTGTCCACGGAAGGAAAACAAAAACGTAAGTGACTTGGGAGGAAAAACAAACTCTGGATACATCTTGCAGTGCAAGCCAGTTGCAACACAAGAACTTTCTCCAAATGACACTTGACTGATTAAAATAAATCACCCTCAACTGCAGGCATCTGCTCAGATGATGCAGAATGGTGTCGTTTATTCATGCATCCCAAAGGGTATTTTTTTTTAATGCTGTCATGATGTCAGACGAGGCAGTGCGTTTGCATATGGGAGCATGCCCAGACAGCATTCATAAATAACCTGCAGTCTATTCAATTACACATGGAACTGTTACGTTAGTCATGAAGCAACTGAACAGCTTGCTAGAAAATCTTGTGGCTGGTGCCATATTTCTCAGGCAATGAAATCGTGAAAGGAAGGAAGAAAGATGGCTGGAAAAAAAATGCAGTACTGTACCTCCTGGACAGAAAATATAGTAACTAAGAACTTCCTGTAAGTCTGACATCGGAGTTTTTAACTGTAGAAGTAAGATTATTTCAGAAGGGGTGCTCCTAAAATTCATACTGGCATTAACAAGAAATGGAAGCACCCTTGGAAGCAGCGGCTCAAATCCTGTTCCATAAGTTATTAAGTTACACTGCATGACATTGACTGTTGAGGTTGATGGTTCTGAAAATGAAAAAAAATCAGATTTTTTTTTTCTCTCTGAAGGTGCCAAAGGCTCCCGTGGAATCCATTTCCTTTTGGGGAAGCTGTTGATAAATGTCATCCTGACAATGGCAGCTTTTGAAAAGTGGGAGACTTCAGCCCGTCCCATGGCCCCCAAATGACTGGACTGATGAAGGAGAATCCCTTGGGAGCTTTGGGATCTTCAGAGGGCAGGGATCTGACATTTTTTTTTATTTCTGAAAAACTGCCACGACTGATGACCTCATCTGCTTCAGGCGGCATAGCTGCACAAATAGTACCTCTTACTATCAAAAGCCAGGAACTGAGATCACTTCCCTATTGAATGTGTGCTCGAAAGCAAATCTAGACTTGTTGCTGTGGGATGTACGTATGAAACAGACAGTCCTACATCTGAAACCACGGCCATTGTGGTGGTTTTCAGATCTTAAAGGCTCCCTTGCTCCCTACACTGAGGCTCCCAGAGGCTTCCCCAGTTGGAAAGGGATCCTTAACAAGCTGCTCCTGCGATGACTGAATATATGTTGCACAGTGTTGTTCAGTGTGTTGCATTCGCTACCAAAGTACCCAGATATCCACACCTAACAGGTTCTATTATAGAAGTAAATTTAAAAGAAGAAAGTCTAGCGTGACATTTCTGTATTCCTGTATTCCTCCAGTTAAAAGTCAGGAAGAAGAGTCTGCTCAGTTTCCCTAGAACTAACAAGCGGGTTATAGTTCATTTTCAACACGAGATTTCAAAAATGAACACGCCCGACCTTTCCTGTAAGCAAATATGGTAAGTGTAGGTCAGGTATGCAGCAGCTCAGTCAAACTGACTCGAGATGCAGAAACCCGTCATTTAGATCCCGTTCCAGCCAATGTTTTACAAAGTGTTGCAATTGCAAGGGGAAGCTCTTCACACGCTTGGCGGGGTGTCCAACCTATCTTTTGCATGTTACAAGGGCCGAATGCACTGGGGAGGAAATCTGAACTGATGTGAAATGGAAAAGCAATAAAAGGAACGGTCTCTTTCCCCAGCAAGCTGGCATACATTTATCTTGGCTTGGTTTGTCAAACCAAAGAGGTTTCAGACAGATAATGCTCTTCCTGTCCCGCATTCTTGCTGTTCACCTGAGAGGTAGACATTGTCTCCAGCGCTCACCACACTGAAAAATTCCCGGTCGTAGAAAGGCAGGCTGGCCAGTGGGTACCATTTATTGTTTTGAGGGTTGAAACAGGTTACTGCTGTTAAGGCTCGTTGATTCATCCCTATCATCTGGCGGCCTCCGACCAGGACGATGACTTCGGCCACACCTAGGAAGTAAACCAACAACAATGCTTGTTTCTTTTGAAAAGGTACTTTTTAAAAAATCCTGATTCTTCCTCTCTTTCTCTGACTCTCTTTCACACCTCCACTTTCATAATCCTAAAATATCTTCTGGACTGCTCCTTGCAAGCTTTCCTCTATATATGATTATAGATTTATTATACTTCTATAGTACATTTTGTTTCATTACATTTTGAACAAAATAGATATATGAACATGTGAAACTGCAGCCGGATATACTTCTCTGTTTCTGGCTTAAAATTTGACAATGCATGGATCTTTTTCTACTTAAAGTGGAATAGCCAACACTGTAGGAAAAAAGGCGCACATTTGGTAGGAGAAGATGGCTCTTTTAAAGCATTTTCATTTCTGTGAAAGTTATGGCCTTTACACTTTTCAAAAGTACAGTGGTGCCTCGCTTTACGATCGCTTCGTTTAACGACAAAATTGCATTATGATGAACTTTTTGTGATCGCTTTTGCAATCGCAAAACGATGTTTCCTATGGGGGAATTTCGCTTTGCGATGATCGGTTCCCTGCTTCGGGAACCTATTCTTTGCAAAACGACGATTTTTGAACAGCTGATCAGTGGTTTCAAAATGGCCACCGGGTAAATAAAATGGCTCCCTGCTGTGTTTAGGGACGGATTCCTCGCAAGACAGGCAGAGAAAATGGTTGTCCTATGGAGGATCTTCGCTGGATGGTGAGTTTTAAGCCCATCGGAACGCATTAAACAGGTATTTCTATGGGCTTTTAAATTTCACTTTACGATGTTTTCATTCTACAGCGATTTCACTGGAACGAATTAACATCGTAATGCAAGGCACCACTGTACGTAACAGCTGACGTTAAAAGAAAAAAAATCAGTGACATTAAGTGAATGTTCAAAGGAACATGCACTTATATCTCAGGACATTTATTCTAAAATTAATAACATGTACACATTCTGTTTCTTATTATTCCTTTGAATAATTTACCGAATACTTAAAAGAAACACCAGTTACGCATGAGTAACTCAGAGATACGTTTCACTGGATTCAGTGGGGCTTATTCTATAGCAAGGCTGAGATTTTTGTTTTATTTCTTTTTAAACTGCCCAAAGTGTTCCCATTTTAAAATATAAATAGTGTTGACAAGCAATACACTGTCAAATTGGGAGTTTAAAAAATGTTGGCAAGATTATTGTTTTCAGAAAAATGGCAGGAAAAGCTCATCACTTGCATCAGATCTAATGGAATTATAATAAATGGCCTCAAGAGGGCATTACACATCCTGTGTGTGATTCACACAGGATTTAAGGACCCTTGGTGAGTTCCACATAATTGGACATCGACCTACAAGAATAATCACTCCTTTCCCCTCATCCCTGGAAAATTACTTTCCCCTAATCAACAACTTTCGGAAAGTGGTTTGCATTGCGCTTACTATTTTATCTGCAAACATTAAATAGGAACTTTTCAGAAATCCTTCTGCCCGACAAACCATTAGGCACTCCCAGGTAAAGAGTTAGAAAGAGGGTTGTTATTGAAAATCCTGTGTGCTTCATCTTTCTGATATGTTCCTTGATTAGACCCTGTCTCCACTAACTGAGAAGGCTGCAACTTGACATATAATTTTATACACTATGTGCCTCAGTATCAATTTCTTGGCATTCTGATTTTGCTGGCTAGGATGAAACAACTTCAAAAGGCATTCTTTATTCTCTGCACATACAAATCTACGTAAATTTGTGACACCAATTTATACTACTTTCCAATATAAGAGGTGCATAAAAATGATCCAGCATTGCTATAGCAAAAACTGACTTGAATGTTTTCATATTTCTGAGAAAGAAAGCAAGGTATGATAATTGAAGCATTCATTCATTCATTCATTCATTCATTCATTCATTCATTCATTCATTCATTCATTCAGCCTGTCTTTCAATAAAACATATAACTAAAAGTCTGCAAAGAGATAGTAGTAAAATTTAGATGATGTGTCAAAATTACAAAAATTCCAGTAACTATTAAGAACACAAGCAAAAGATTATTGATAAACAAACTAAAAGTGTTTCAAAAGCCCCAATCTGAGATTTGTAGTTTGGTGAGATGCTTAGAGTTTTTATTTATATATATAAGTATAAACATAAAAATATAAAAATATAAAAATATAAATCAATCAATCAATCAATCAATCAATCAATCAATCAATCTATAAAAATCTGGATTTAAAAAAGCAGCATTCAGAAATTTGCAAAATCTAAGAATGTTTGCTGAGAAATTTAAGTCTTAGTTGCTCACACACATACACAAAAAGAATTCAGAACATAACATTTTGGAGCCCGAGGGGGGCAAATAACAACATGCTGGCCCCCCTTCATAAGACAGATGAAAAGGGCAGCCACAGTTGAATCTTATTTCAGTACAAGTGAAACAACAGGATTCTCCATCACACGTCCAGGCATCAGTCTAGCCTCAGGGGACACGGAGCAGGGCAGGCTGTGCTCACAGGCTCCGTGTTCCACCTGAATGCTGCTCATTCAACCAATGCTGTCGTGCAGTCATTTAAGTAGAGGAGCACATGTGTAGCTCGCTCACAAGGAAAGAGTATTTTCCAGCAGTGTTCCCTGTGATACAGGTAGCAGAAGTCAAGAAGAAGTGCCCTGCTGGCTCAGGAGGATGGGAAAAGCTTGAGAAGATGGGAAAACTCATCTCCTGCCTGAATCAACAACCCCACTCTGCCTTAAAGGTAGGGTTGGTCCTATGGTAACTTTGGAGTCATAATCTTATGTAGAGTAGAACCCCCCCCATTCACTTATCTGATGGCTGAAAATATGTGACAACCCCCACCAATGATTCACTTATCTGATGGCTGAAAATATGTACTAAAATGAAAATACTGTACTGTACTTACAAATATGGACAGAAAATGTCATTATCAGATTGGCCACGAGAGGGAGCGACCACCATTTTGCCTTGGTCTTGAAGCAGCTTCTGTCTAGAGCAGCTACCCTCAGCAGCTTTTAAAACTCAGAGCTGAATCAGCCAGTGAGACAGGAGGAGTGGCAAGCCTTGAGCCAAGGTGCCTCCTGGGGAGATTTTCTATTTCCCCTGCTTCCTGCCTTCCAGCCAGCCCTTTCCTCAAGACTCCCAGGCAAACAAGAAAATGGATCACTTATTTCTTCAAAGAAAAAATGCTGTAGAGCCATGGAGATATTCTCTCTCTCTCTCTCTCTCTCTCTCTCTCTGTGTGTGTGTGTGTGTGTGTGTGAGAGAGAGAGAGAGAGAGAGAGAGAGAGAAGGAGAGAAGGCTTCAGCTCGGCTCTTACAGAGACCCCATCGAGATACGAATTAAAGGTTCAGGGGTCATGGGTCCAGCAGACTATGTTATAGAGTTTGCTATAAACCACATTTTTCACCATCCGTAGGGGGACTTCGAATCTGTGGATATGGGGATCCTACTGTATCCTAATTTGGAAGTACCGTTAAATTGAGTGAATAAACATGCATGGGGTCAGTCTATATATGAGATGTGCATATTCAGGCATCAAATCAAGCACCACACAGATTGATCAGTCCTCTCTGAAGTGTCTTAATGTACTGTATTCTATTAACTGCTCTACTGCTCAGTGGCTGAGGCATCTGGCTGCAGAGCCAGAGGTTGGGAGTTCAGTTCCCTGCTGGGCCTTCTTGACAGGGGACTGGACTTAATGATCCAGAGGGGTCCCTTTCCAGCTCTGCAGTTCTAAGATGACAGGACACAGGAATGTCAAAAGGGCAGAATGTCAACAATTTGTGTCCAATTAAAACAAATGTCTATGCAGAGCTATCACCCCTTGACTGTGCTAAGCTGCTTCCAGAATGTGGCAAAACTGTGACAGAAAACCAGCTGTTGGATCTTAGCACTTGATTTGTGTTGAGGAATGTGCTCTTTGCCTTAATACTCTGGTCACAGGAGGGAATTGGTATCAGAAGATGTAGGAAAACCGAGGGTCAAATCTGCTTCTTTATCTTGGAACTGGCACAGAGAGAGCAGAAGAAGGAAGGGATTTCATCTTGCCTCCCCATGCAGAGGGTAAACAGCCTGAACCCATCCCATGAAGAGCTGCTAAAAAAGGGAAAGTGTGTGTTTGTGTATGTGTGTGTGTGTGTGTGTGTGCGTGGGGAGAGGCAGACTTTGCAGAGTTTCAGCATTAAAAAAGAGCCGTGGTTTACCTGCTGATAGCCTAGGACGGGTTCGTGGAGTCTGCATCTCTTGTCGGGCATGTGGCAACATGTGATAACGCTTCGCTTCATTCACCAGATCCCGGCAGGCCTCTGAAGACTTTATCAACTCCTCATTGTCAACAACGTTTAGCAGATAACTGGGATGGATGAAGGGTAGGCGGACCACTGCCAGCAACTCAGCAGCATACTGCAAAAGAACATATGACAAGTATTTTACTTGTTCAGCTGGGTTTTCATGGACTCCAGACAATTGTCTTCTTTTTCTCCCACTACTTGAGAGGATATGCCATTTAAATGGACGCACCATTCAACTTTTTGTTAGCAACATCTGAATGCTTCTGCCGTTAAACTCTTCCCTTCTCAAAAAACAGTTTCTACTACTGTAGAAAGAAACATACTCTTCACATATCTACCTGTCCATCAATCCTTTTTTTAGGTCTCAAGCAGTGAAAAATATAATACATTTCTGTTATACAGAAATTTGTGTTACACATTTCTATATACATATTTCAAACTAAAAATGAATGCCAAATTTATGCTGAATTTACACGCACCATGCACATAGGAGACCTAATGTAATATCTCCAGTTTCTTCAGTGAACATGCTGAAATTTAAGACTGACTGTTTGACTGCAAACAAATAGCTATTCTGGTAGAATTCCAAACATCAAAAAAGTTTATCTTTATGTAACATCAAAATGGCTGAATAAGGGCACTGGTGTTGATAAAGCCATGAGGGATTTGTTCGCTTTTAGATTTTGTAGGAAGTCAAACTCCAGGAGCAAATGCTCAGATGCAGATGGCCTATCTCCATCTCTCTGCATAAATGAAATAAACTTTATAGTGTAAAGGACATAGAGATAGCTGAAAACATCCATCATCTGTCAAGGCACAACAGAAAGCGAAAGTACAACAGAGAGAAAATTGCATGTTATAAAATGAAGAATTCATGCAATGATTTATTTTGGTAACTGTTCATTCCCTGAAACGTCCCAGACTGCCTCGAAGCAAAAAAATAAGGCAGAACATTTGGCGAATGTGCCGGCAGATGGAAGTGAGGCAGAGAAAACGGATCTGTACAACTGAGGAAAAGTGATTAAGAACAGTTCAATTTTTTGCTAGGATAATGGATTGATACACTGGAAGCAGCTATGTTCTTTAAGGACTTCAAAGCTGTCTACCAAGCACTTGTAACCTTTAGGCAATTATGAGCACAATTCCTGCCCTGCTGTTTTACCCTTGGGGAGATGATGGCTTCAACGAGGAAATAATGAAAATGACGAAGTGTAGAAGAAGAGGAAAGACCTGCCAGGACTGCAAGTTAGGATCACGTCTAATGTTCCAAAGAAGCAAAACTTGGGTTTTTGGGTTTTTTTTAGACAGAGACAAAAAGTTTGGCCCTACTTATTTCAAGTATTCCACAACCATCATCCTCATCCATCACATATTATTTTTTTTAAAAAAATTGTAATTCTTCTTTTGCAGGATATTAACCTCTCCGCCTCAAACAACCTGATTAAAATGAAAGGGGGGGGGTGGATTACTAGGGTTCAGAAGACTGATGGATATCTTTTTGAAAAGCTCTCCATTAAAAATAAACAAACCCCAGAACAAAACTAGGAGAGATGGAAACACCAAGGGGGTTTCAAAGACTACTCCTCAATCTTTGGAGCAGGATCTATTGATGTGAAACTTTGTGAAGCTTATATTTAATTATGCTGTTATTCCCCCCTCCCAACCAATAACAAAGAAACCAACCAGTAGAAGAAAGGAGACAAGAGGAGAACTATATGAATAATCTTGCCATTTTCCCACAATAGCTGAAGCATGCAACTACACTGAGATAAAAAAGTTGCCCTGCATTTTTTATTTTATTTGGTTTTTTTAAAAAAGTATATACTGTACTGCCCAAACAACTTATAATTAATAGGTGGTATATAAATGCTGTTACAGCAGGAGTAACAACAACAATGTCATGATAATACTGTAAAAGGAGAGAGATCACCTAAGCCACCCAACAGTGTTTCTAAAGGCTGTATTTTCCCTAGAAAAGGTTGAGAGTGTTTAATCTTCTAGTACTCTCAACCAAGCTGAGGTAACAAAGAAACAGCACAATAGTAGATTAGAAAGTGGTGGTTGGGTGGAATAGGTTGGAACACACCTTGGCTAAAAATTTCTCCTGGACAAAAGAAGGTTACTCACTTAGGAATAGTGTACAAGGAACATAAACGCTAGAGCATTTGAATCCTATTGTATGAGAAAACACGTACCTATTTACCAAATTCTGAAGCCTACAAGAGACAGAGATGGAAAATGTTCCTATTTTAAAATTATGGTTCCCCGAATCCCACAGCCATCATAGCCGCCAAGGTTATAGTTATAGAGACTACTTTCATAATAGTCCCCTGGATTGATTAGCTTCACTTTCTAACAGACTTCTGCTTGAGCAAGAATTTGTTTTGCCACCCAAGATACGGAGTGGAGAGTTGACTTTAGCTTCCTCAAATCTTGTTACACGGGAAGAGGAACTGGGAAACAAGCCAGTCGTGTTGATCCCATCCAGAGCAGACAATCCCAACATTCCTGCCGTTCTGGTATCACACACTATAAGCAATTTTGTCCTGTCCAAAATCCTACCCCAGTTCAATTTGGCTTCGTCCAGCCCATTGATGACTTCAGGCAATAATTACAGGACAGTAATGCCACATCTCTTTCAAAGAGAAAAAAGAAACAGAGCTGGAATTTATCAGCACATTGTTGGTCCCGCCAACTATCACCCCAGGAAAGTGATCCCAAATGATACCATGCCCAGTGATATGTGTAGATGCGGACTGTTTTAAGACGACCTACAAGGTCAAGTCCATGTACCTCAGAGCAAAAATTGCCAGTGAGGGCAACCAAGGCAATCTCAAGGTCAAACTATACATTACAACATCCTGTCACAGAACTGGGAATTGCTCAAGTGCTGACTGTCTGTGATTGTTCTAGCAGGATTTCGTCTCACTTCCTATAATTTACAAATTAACTTGCTTTTTTGGGTGATCAATCTTCTGGACATAAGCATGTTCTTTCTTTGTTGGTCTGAATTACCAGACATGAAAAACTGCCTCCATTGTGTATCTTTATTATTAGCATGGTTTCAGCTTTAATGACAGGCTGTCTGTAATGTGTAGTTTGGCCCTCAGTCACAACCCCCTCTCTCAAGCCCAACCAATTATGTTGTGCTATTTCACGGTCCTGGAGCTGCTCAGCTGCAGCCCATCTGACCACGGCTAAGAATGGGACATCGGTTTCTGGTTCAAGTTTTGGTAATTTTTACAGTTCTCCAAAAATGGTTTCTCAGCAATGTTCTTAATACAGCCTCCTGCTGGCTTGGGGGGAAAAAACACACACACACATTTCCTTCAATTAATGCTTTGCCTCTCCTAACACTAAACAAACAGGAAGATGTCCACATATTGCTTGAGATAAACTCTAGTAATAACAGCTGCAGTAATGAATCAAACACTCACTCGTCTTTACTTAATTAGATTAGTGGGAAGAAGTCATCTTGCTTGGTTCTTTTTGTGCGAACTTGCATCTCATTGTGGGAAATAATAATTAGAGCAGGTTGCTCTGTCTGAGTAGCAAAAAAAGCTGGCATCACTGCATGAAGCTAATGCTACGGTTCTCTCTCGCATTCTGCTACCCATGCAGCTCCTAATGTCAGTAGCTCACTAAGAACACTAGGCTCTTCGTATGTTTTTCTTTTAAAAACAAAACAAAACAAAACAAAAACCCAAAGGATTTGAGGAACACACACATCCTCTCTCTTTGCCTCCCTCTCATGCACACACCCCACAAATATAATCTTGTTGCTCCTGTCAGTAGATAAAAGGTTTTTTTTATAAAACAATTTTTTTAAAAAAAAGCCAGCTCTTTTTAAGTCATATAGTTGAAAACAAATTTCATTTGGCTCTGCAGATTTAAGTATATTCAGGTGATCAGGGCTGTCCATAAATTATTACTCTCCAATTCTGACATGTGATGGTGTTCTATTTTTGTTAGCGAGGATTGGATTAAATATCTTGATAGCGTTATTCTTTCTACAGAAGCCTGAAGTAAGCACTGTTTAGCATTTGAGCCTCTTTACCATCTGCCACTACTTCTCTTTCCTTCTCTTTTGTCCTTTGCCATTAGGGCTTAGCCTCTTGTAATTCTCATTATTTGCTCCCTCACATTTTATTAATATTGAACAATGTTCCCAAACAGACTTCTGGAGAACTCCAGCAAGGTAGGATTTCCACAACCTCTATTTCCATTTGGTCAGATTAGGCTCTGAATTTTTTCTTTTCTTTTTGGTCCATTAACAAGTACTTTGCTCGTTATTTATGTGCAGCTGAAGAGACTGGGTAGTTAGAGAAATGCAATTATTTCGATTTGTGCTTGCAGTTTGTGCTGGGTTGCGAGCAGCCTAAGTCCTCAGTTCCATGAATGTTTGTGCTGTAGTGCCATCAAACCCCACACTTGCAATAATCAGAAAGTACTACTTCTTATTGATATAGCATGGTGTAACAAATAGAATAATGTACTACGCCTCAAGAGTCCTGGGTTCAAATCCCTGCTTAGCCATGGAAAGTCAGTGGAGGAAGAGTGTAACTAGTAAGACCAATCCTTAAATATGTCACTTAATTTGAAAGCCCTGTTAGGGTTCCTATAAATCGACTCAACCTTGAAGACACATAGAACAGCATCTGCTTGATGAGTGCTTTTGTCTAGCCATTCAGCATAAACCAACATGAATACAACCTAATCTATGTGTGTGTGTTCTTAGAATTCTAAGCAACTAATTCTATGTAACAGACACAGGAGTTTTTTTTTTCCATTTACAATTCAAGAAGTAGTTAAACCTTAAATCCATGTGACTTCAATAGCAATCTGGACGTGGTGGCGCTGTGGGCTAAACCGCCGAAGCCTGTGCTGCAGGGTCAGAAGACCAAGCAGTCATAAGATTGAATCCACGTGATGGAGTGAGTGCCCGTCGTTTGTCCCAGCTCCTGCCAACCTAGCGGTTCGAAAGCATGCAAATGCGAGTAGATAAATAGGTACCACCTCGGTGGGAAGGTAACAGCGTCCCGTGTCTAAGTCTCACTGGCCATGTGCTCTATGGCTTGGAAACGGGGATGAGCACCGCCCCCTAGAGTCGAA